GCCGTCGTGACATCTGTCCGGGCATCAGTGCATCAGGGCACCCCCACCACCACCTTCCCCAGTCAGCTGACCGGTGCTCGAAGACATCTGCTCGTGATTATGGCGTTTTACTGCGGCGATCACTTTACTGTGCCATGCTGCCTCTGTTTCTTATTTTCCTCTCGCTGGGCCGGCCGGCTGGCTCGCCTTTCTTACTTTGTTTGCTTGCTTATTTGCTACACTGTCTGCCTCGCTGTTTACTTGCCAGCGTGTCTGCGTGCTCGTCTGTTTGCCCGCTCTTCTCTCGACGTAGCTGCTTACCTGCGCTTGCATTCAAAAGCTCGTCCTCCCCCTCGCAGCAGAATGAATGAAGATGAGTGAATGACGAGATTAATGCAAGAATGTGAATGAATAAAGTCAAGAGAAAAGAGCGACCCAGGTGCTTTGGAGAGAGCAGATCCCCGCCAGCCTCGAGAGTGGCCGTCGCCTCTCGCCAGGCAGGAAAGCGCCGCGTGCGCCCCTCGCCCTCCTCGCCACGTCGCCCTCCGCGCCCTCCTCGTCCTCATTGCCCTCCTCCTCCTTTTCCTCCTCCTCCTCCTCCTCCTCCTCCTCCTCCTCCTCCTCCTCTTCCTTCTCCTGCTCCTCCTCCTCTTCCTTCTCTTCCTTCTCTCCTCCTCCTCCTCCTCCTCCTCCTCCTCCTCCTCCCCCCCCTTCCTTCCCCTCTTCCTCCTCCTCCTCGCCCCTACTCCTCGCCACGTCGCCTCGGATGTCGCTCCGAATACTGGCGGCTTGATATGGGCTGGAGGTCTTTCTGAGGGCGAGGCACGAGAAGAGAAATGGAGACCAAACCGTGACATTGTTGGACGTTGAGGTAATCAAAATAGATACCTGAGAAATGCTAAGGTTCTCGGGCCTTCGTAGTCTAATCCGAAGATCTTAGGGGAGAGAGAGAGAGGGGTGGGGGACTGCTTAGCGAAAGGGCAGCATTTACCTGTACCGGAGAGCATAACAGCGGCCTAAACAAGCCCCTCCTATCTTTCCTGTTTTCCCGCCTTTATCGCCCCCTTCTCCCCCCTTTCCCCTCCTTATCTGGCCTTCGCCCGCACATTTTCTCGTCTCCCTCGCGTGTTGACGGCTCTTTATGCTTACATCGTTTGTATTCTTTTTTCCCATGCTTTCGTTTAGTCCTTCAAGTCCTTTCCATTTTTTCTTATTTCCAATTCATTCTCACTTCCTTTCTTTGTCTGCCCATCATTCCCATCCTCCTCCTTTCATTCTGCATTCTGGCCCCTCACTTCTCCCCCCTCTCTCGCCGTTTCCCCCATCCATTCTTTCTTTCTCTCTCTCTCTCTCTCTCTCTCTCTCTCTCTCTCTCTCTCTCTCTCTCTCTCTCTCTCTCTCTCTCTCTCTCTCTCTCTCTCCCTCTCCTCCCCTTCCCTCCGCCTCGCCTCCCCTCGCCATCTTGCCCCTTGCTCCCCTCGGTGCACAGGTAGCGGCCCTCGACTCGCCAGAGGGTCGCCAGGTGAGCGCGGGAACCCAGGCGTGCTGTTCGCGTGAGGCCATTGAGCCCTCTCTGCCCTCATTGCGCGGGTGGAGTGAGGGGCTGTGAGGGGAAATAATGCGTTGGTGAATGGAGGGAATCTGAGGGGAAGTGACGAAGTGAGAGAAGAGGGAAACTTGATTTATATGTCTTTCAACGAGACGGTTTTGACTGACGTGCTTGAAGACTCGAATGTCCTCGTAAGTTGATACTGTAACGAGTTTTCTTCTTCTCTTCCTCCTCCTCCTCCTCCTGCCTTTGCTTCTGGTGGTGGTGGAAGTTAAGTTTGAACAGTTTTTTATTAGTTTTGTTTGTTTTAGTGGCCTTGTTTTCTTGCTATGAAATAATTCTGTTTTTATAATAATAATGTTGGCTCCCCGTCTTTTTTTTTTAAATCCAGACTGCGTTTTCTTTAAACAGTGCTTTTACAGGGAAAATGGGAATTGTTTTCGAGTTTTCCATGTCCAGTTCCTGTCGGATAAAGAAAGGGTTGGGAGGGGAGGCAGGGGCAGGGGGGGGGGCGTGAGTGACAGGTAGTCCTGCGTTTGTATGCAGCAGACAGAGTGTTTGTGTGTTTATGTCTCCATACATGTAGTGTGCGTATTGTATTTTCATTTGTTTTGTTTTCCATCTACGTTTGCCCAGTTGTTTTCAGCGCTATATTAATACAATGCACTTGCCATTGCCGGCAGTAAAACAAAGCCCACCCTTAAACTGTGTCACCCCGCCCTCCCCCCTCCCCCCGCCCTCTCGCCCCTGCCCTCCCCCGACGCGCCGCACCCCACCCCCGCCCTCCCCTCGTGGGCCAGCAACTCATAACCTATTAAAAGTTAGTTTCAACTGGTTTCCATCCTGTTTTCGAATACCTAGAGAAAATGGTCGGGAAAAGGGGAAAGAGTAACGGGGGAGGCAAGGGGGGGAGGGGGGGAGTGGATGGGGCGCTGAGACAGGAAGTGATAACAGGGGCGGAGGAAGAAGTGCTTGGTTTAGGGTTTAATACGTTGCTAATGGAGGTCTCATTTTTGTTACTTTTGAAATAAAGAAAAATGATTTATATATGCACATATATATATATATATATATATATATATATATATATATATATATATATATATATATATATATGTGTGTGTGTGTGTGTGTGTGTGTGTGTGTGTGTGTGTGTGTGTGCGTGTGTGTGCGTGTGTGTGTGTGTGTGTGTGTGTGTGTGTGTGTGTGTGTGTGTGTTTGATATAAAGTATATTTTAGTTTGTGTGTATTAGTTCATCCATTCATCCTGTCCTTGTATCGCAACGTTTCGAAAATACATAGTAGTTTTTATCTCATTTTCTGAAGTGACTTGTCAAATATTACCATTGTTGGAATCGACTATACGTCCCCTCATCTCTCTCTTTTTCTTTCTTTCCTTCTTTCTTCATCCATCTCTTTCTCTCTCACATTGTTTCTTTCTCATCCACCTTTTTTATGAAAATGCGACACTTTCTATATAGCGGTTGCATTGCTGGCCTTGCGGGCGCCATTGTTAAGCGCAGCGGAGATCGAGAGCGATCGGAGTGCCGCTCAACAGGGCGCCAGGGCGGAAGTGCCGGAACCTCCGCGCACCGGAATTACGTGTTACGCGAACGGGTCGAGGGGGGGGGGATCCATCATAGCCGTCCGAAGCTGGCTGAATTACGTTCCTTTTCCGCCCGTTTTTATTTTAATGACTTTTCGGAACTAGACGGCGAGATCTTTAGGTGTCGATTTTGGCTTTGGCGAAGCTACAGTTGATCAGTGACTGAGCTTCGGCCAGAGGGAGCGAGAGGAAAGCGAGGGAGGGAGCGAGGGCTCTGAGCGGCGGCAGGACACAGCTGCAGACAATCCCAGCGACGTACCAATTGCCACTCCCGTCCCAACTGGCGAGGGGGAAGGACGCAGAAGTGGTTTATGGATCGCCTTCGGGAGGCGGCGAGGCAGTAGGCAGTGTGGATTCCTTTGAGGAAGCGTCGCGGCGCTCTGGTGTGCGCTGAAAGGAAGGAGAGAGAAAGGGGAAGTGATTTGCTCCGAGCTGATGCGTAAATCAGGCTGCGGCTAAAGTTTTGTGTGGCATTTCGTTATTGGCCGTTTGAAACAAAGTGGAAGTAGAAAGTAAAGCAGAGGACGAAGATTGGCCGAGGGGTCCTTGCACAGTGGAGGAAAAGGGTGGCAGTGATGCGGCGCGGTTAAGATTCATTGTGCCAGTGCAGGGAGTGCCTCATTCATGCTGCTAGAATCAAGACGTGCGCTTGTGTTGTTGGCTTGTGCCGCGCGCTAGCCTTGGTCGGAGGAGGTCTGGTAGTGTCACGAAATATGAGTGGTGTTGTGGCTGGTGCCGCCGAGGCTGAGTGATTTCGGCCGGGGCAAGGAAGCCGAGATGCAGCCGCTTGCACATGAGGCAGGAGTGCCGGGGAGGCGATGAATAAGCGACCCGGTTCGAAATGGGAGTCTCGTGCGGAGTGAACGGAAATCTCGTGGAATCCTTGTGCCTTGAAAAATCATCTCTGCCGTCGCTGATGCCGTGGGTGTTACGTGAAAGAACACGGAATGAGAAAGAAATTGTATGTGGCTCGTGAAAGAAAGTGCCGCGTTTGTGCGTGAGTGTGTAAATGTCAGCCTCGACAGCAGAATGTGACCGTCCGGAAAAATGGCGGGAAAGTTGGTCACTTCTGCCTGATATTGCAGGTTCGCGGAGATGTGTGCGCAGTGCCGTCGGTAATTTCCCGTAACCGATCGTCGGTTTAGGGAAACAGTTGTGGAAGTCGGTCTTTCACGGTGAGGTCAACGCCTGCAATACTTCCGCGGTCGACTAACGAGGTTGGATTTTTCACATTTTTCTACCGAGAAAATGAAAGAGAAAATACGTTCTCTTGGATCTGACAGTGGCTGGAAGAAACAGTTATCAACTCTGGGAAAAGGGAAAGGTATACGTCATGGTCGGCTCTGGAAATCAAGCGAAAAGCTCGAAATCCGAAGAAAATAAACCGAGGAGAAGCACGCTGGCGAGGGAGCCGCGAGTATGGCCTGGCCTTGAGATGGGCCAGGGCGCGAGCCAGGGGTCGGAGCCCCTCCTGTGCTCCCCCTCCGCCCCCCCGTGCATCAGGATGG